GGTTTAGGATTTTGGGTTTAGGGTAGCATTCTGATTCGGTTCGATCTGGTCCTGGCAACTTGGCAGCATGTCGAGCTAGATCACGAACATCACCCGCCGACTAACCCTGCAACCTAGAACCGCCCATGTGTACGGAAGAATGGCACCACCAACTAGGGTGGTGTTCTTTCCAGCCATCCTTCAACAAGAAGCAGGCTCCTACAAGTACTATGGGGGCCTGAATAATTACTAATGCTGCTTTGGGAGCTCCTTAATGTAATGAAAGAAAATAGACCCCCAAACCCTATTCTGACTATTAAGGCCCTATATTAGCTGTGTTTAGTCCGAGACGGATGGATGAAGTTGTGATCCGGCGCTCCTTTCGCAGTACCGTTTGAGCCCGGTATGGTATCACGGTAAAGCTGCGTCGTGAGATGCTGGCCGTAGAACGTCCGGTTTTCCTTAATCGGGTTTCTAGCTATTCTGCGACAGGCTTCGTATCAAACCTTGCATCCCGAGCATGCTTTTCTAAGTTGTAAGCTGCGACTACGGCTGTAGCTGCACCTTAGGCCCTAAAGAGTTGCATGGCCCTGACGACATTTACCCTGAAACACGAAACTCGAACACTGCCTGGACCGTAGGGTTTCGGGTTTAGGTCCAAGATAAGACTCCTTACTCCAAGGACAACCCATAGAAACCCCAAAAGAGCATTTCTTAGTCTGTGCAGAACCCCGAATCCCAAAACAATACCAACAAAATCTAAGCTCTAAACCCTAAACGCCAAATCCTACAAACTTAAATCCTACGCCCCAAATCGTCAAATACTACATGTCGAGGAGTTGGCAAAGCACAAGGAGCTCTGCCCTGTCTTCGGGATAGGTTTACGGTGTCAGTTTTGGCTTTAAGGGTTTAAGGCTCAGGGCGATTTTAGGGTTTAGGTTTTGGATTTTGGNNTTTCGGCGGTTCAGGGTTTAGGATTTCGGCGCGATCTTTGTGGGCAGGTCAAAAACCCGGCTGGCAGGAGCTATGTAGCTGATGGTATGATGGATTCTGCAGGGTATGCTGCTTCATCTGCAGGGGTCAAGAATTTCAGGGTTGAGGTTTCCGGGAAACCCTAATGTAGGTTCCCCGGGAATCAGCACCCTTTTGCAGAGCTTTCTATTTTTCTGCTCTTTTATTAACCTCGAATAGACGGTAAAAAGGGTACCCTTACTGCTAAGGTACATTGGTTAACCCCTAAACCCTAAACAATGAATCCTAAACNNTAAACCCTAAACCCTAACCCTCACCTGGGGTCACCAGGAACGAGCAACACTTGGGCCTTAACCCGATTCCTCGATCCGAGAGTAGCCGCTCGAGGTTCCAAAGTACCACTTGTTGCTGTTACGATACTACGATTATTGTGTGTATTACTACTTATAAAAACAGTTGTTGCATGTTATTGCCAATATTGCGCACGTTTTGAACTGTGTGTTAATATTGCTGTAACTGTAACTACTTGTTTTTGGGAGCAACGTGAGTTGTGCTAGTGGTTCTCCATTTGGGATGTGGCTTACACTAGTACACCGGCAACAGCAACAGAAGAAGCAGCAGGCTACCATCGCTTGCGCAACCCGAAAACTCTTGGACATCGAGCCTCAACGTCCAAACCCACCTGGCCAGGCAGAGCTGTCTGAAGCCAAGGCTGCGGCTCTGGATGCTCCTTGGCTGGCGATTTGGGGTTCCAGGATTTTTTAGCAGGGTCAGGGTCTTGGAAGCAGTGCTTCTGCAGGTGGTATTGGGTGGGCGCTTGCCGCCCACGAAGACTTGGGGGCATCGACCCAGCTCTTGTTACAAGTATAGTTGACTTCGGGATGCTACGGCTGAGCTCTATCCTGGCTTTGTGGCTTGGCGGCTGTCTCTGTAGCGCAGTTCGAGTGTCGTGTCATGGGATTGGCAGGTAGTGGTACTCCTGACTCGACGCGACTGATTGAGGGTTCGGCACCATGAAATCCGTGAGGGAACGCACAAACATGTATTGAACGACGCGTACGGGGCAGAGTTGCAACCACAAAGACCGCGGTATATGTACCCAAACGGCTCATGAGCAAGCAACCATTTCTTAGTCTCCCAAGGGACCCGTTTTGCCCTTTTTGTGCTCTTAGGTTCCTTATGAAGCTACCGAGTACCAAAAAGTGGTCCCTTTTGATTCCTAGGTGACAGGAGGATCCCAGCCCTCTAAGCTAAAAGAAGCACTTTACAAGCTACGGTGTCTAGTAGAAGAACCCTTACCTTAAGGGTTCATGCACCCAGACAGTATATACTTTGGCCTT